TAAACAGATATCAGGTGTTTGAGCATGCCTAGGAAAGAAACCTGATTATATCATTGCTTCTGTCCATTTGCACAGGCAGTCAGAAATTTGGCTGTAGCCTTTTATTTATTTATTTTTGAGACAGTGTCGTTGTCACCAAGACTGGAGTGTAGTGGCACAATCTTGGCCCAGTTTCAAGTGATTCTCATGCCTTAGCCACCTGAGTAGCTGGGATTACAGGTGTGTGCCACCATGCCTGGCTAATTGTTTTGTATTTTGGTGGAGAGTTTTGCCATGTTGGCCAGGCTGGTCTCGAACTCCTGGCCTCAAGTGATCTGCCCATCTCAGCCTTGGTCTCCCAAAGTCTTAAGATTGCAGGTGTGAGCCACCGTGCTGGCTATGGTCCCTTTTTTTTTTTTTTTTTTTTTTTTTTTTTTGAGATGGAGTCTTGCTCTGTCTCCCAGGCTGGAGATCTCAGCTCACTGCAACCTCCGCCTCCCACGTTCAAGCGATTTTCCTGCCTGAGTAGCTGGCACTACAGTTGTGTGCCACCACTCTCGGCTAATTTTTTGTGTTTTTAGTAGAGACAGGGTTTCACTGTGTTAGCCAGGATAGTCTCAATCTTCTGACCTCGTGATCTGCTCACCTCAGCCTTCCAAAGTAGTGGGATTACAGGAGTGAGCTGCTGCACCCGGCTAGCTGTAGCCTTCCAAAGGGAGCATGTCAGGGTTGAGTGCAGTGGCTCATGCCTGTAATCCCAACACTTTGGGAGGCTAAGGCAGATAGATCACTTGAGGCCAGGAGTTCAAGATCAGCCTGGCCAACATGGCAAAACTTCACCTCAACAAAAAGTACAAAAATTACCTGGTCATGGCGGCATGTGCCTGTGGTCCCAGCTACTTGGGAAGCTGAGGTAGGAAGATGGCTTGAGCCCAGGAGGCGGAAGATACAGTGAGCAGAGATCATGCCACTGCACTCCAGCCTGGGCAACAGAGCCAGACTCTGCCTCAAAAATAAATAAATAAAAATAGAAAGATTACCCAGGTGTGGTGGCGCATGCCTGTAATCCCAGCTACTTGGCTACTTGGGAGGCTAAAGCAGGAGAATCACTTGAACCTGGGAGGCAGAGATTACAGTGAGCCAAGACTGCACCACTGTAACCTCACTGCACTCTAGCCTGTGCGGCAGAGTGAGACCCTGTCACACACACAAAAAAAACCATCTCCACGAGAAAAAATAGTTTGTCAGCATTACAGATTGACTCCCTTAACGTTGTTTGGAGGGAGATGCCCTCTACTTTTTTTTTTCTTTTGAAACAGAGTCTTCCTGTGTCACTCAGGCTGGAGTGCAATGATAACGCTCTTGGGTCACTGCAACCTACACCTCCCAGATTCAAGCAATTCTCATGCTTCAGCCTCCCGAGTAGCTGGAATTACAGGTGCCCACCAGCATGCCCAGCTAATTTTTTAATTTATTTTAGTAGAGACGGGGTTTCACCATGTTGGCCAGGCTGGTCTCAAACTCCCGACCTCAAGTGATCCTCCCATCTCAGCCTTCCAAAGTGCTGTGATTATAGGCATGAGCCACTGTGCCCGGCCCCCTCTAAGTTTTCAAAGCCAGGGACCTGTTCTAAACTTTGTTTTATATTCTGCTGCCTTTCCTCTAGATATGTGTCCTAAAAATGCTAGCTATTATGGTAATCGAGCAGCCACCTTGATGATGCTTGGAAGGTTCCGGGAAGCCCTTGGAGATGCACAACAGTCAGTGAGGTTGGATGACAGTTTTGTCCGGGTATGTATGTAATGGGACTGTTTGGGGAAGGCTGGGTTGCTGCAGTTGAGTTTCTCTAGCCCAGTGTTTCTCAGACCTGACAATACTGACATTTGGGACCAGATTATTCTTTGTTGTGGGGGACTTTGCTGTGCATTACAGATTGTTGAGCGGCATCTCTGGCTTTTAATCACTAAGTATGAGTAGCACCCTCTCTGCCCAATTGTAACAACCAAAAATGTCTCCTAACATTGCTAAATGTCCCCTGGAGGGCAAATTGCCCAGGTTGAGAACTACTGCTCTAGTCATTTGCATTCTGTGTTTGTTTGTTTGTTTGTGACGGTGTCTTGCTCTGTCGCCCAGGTTGGAGTGCAGTGGCGTGATCTCAGCTCACTGTAACCTCTGCCTCCCAGGTACAAGCAATTCTCCTGCCTCAGCCTCCTTAGTAGCTGGGACTACAGGCATATGTCACCACGCCTGGCTAATTTTTGTATTTTTAGTAGAGATGGAGGTTCACCATGTTGGCCAGGCTAGCCTTGAACTCCTGACTTCAAATGATTCACCCGCCTCAGCCTCCCAAAGTGCTAGGATTATAGGCGTTGAGCCACTGCACGCAGCCTCTGTGTTGGTTTTCTGTGGGTGTTTGTTGCTGCTCTTGGTTTCTTTCCGCTTGGCCAGTCATGCTCCTTTTCTTCCCTCTTTGTGTTCTAGGGACATCTACGAGAAGGCAAGTGCCACCTCTCTCTAGGGAATGCCATGGCAGCATGTCGCAGTTTCCAGAGAGCCCTAGAACTGGATCATAAAAATGCTCAGGCCCAGCAAGAGGTACGGGTCTGATCCTGTTTCTATCAAAAGAAGCAGTGTGGTATATGTGGGAGGAGTGGCTACTTGAAAGTCAGTACTGAGGTCTAGTCTCACTTCTGCCATCAGCACACCTGGGTGACTTTAGGCGAATTTCACAGTCTCTTTAAGCATCAGCTTCCTAATCTGTAAAATAGTTTTGAATAGGATTGACAGCTTTTTTTTTCTTTTTCATTTAAGTTTACTGCTTAAAGACAGCTTTTAAAAATCTGTGAAAATGGAAGCATTTCTGATGACTGAGGAATAAGTAAATGCTTCCAGGGACCGATTTGAATGAGGTTAAAGAATTTTTGAGTCTGGGAAACATAGTGAGACCCTGTCACCACAAAAAAAAATTTTTTAATTAGCCAAACCTGTTGCCGTGCACCTGTAATCCCAGCTACTCAGGAGGCTCAGGTGGGAGGATTGCTTGTGCTCGGGGTCGAGGCTGCAGTGAGCCATGATTGCACCACTGCACTGTAACCTGGGCAACAGAGCAAGAACCTGTCTCAAAGAAAAAAGGAATCTGAGTAAATTCATGCCCTGATTAAATTGGCAGCAGCTAAAACATGTTTTAGTTCCATCTCTGTATGTAGTATGTGTCGTTTAATGACAGCATACATTTTGTTAGATGATTTCGTCATTGTACAGTCATCATAAAGTATACTTAAACAAACCTAGGTGGCATAGCCTGTTGGACACCTAGGCTATATTGCAGTAGCTACTGGACTACACACCTGTGTATACTGTCCTGAATATTGTAGGCAACGGTAACATTGGTGTTTGTGTATCTAAACAGAAAAGGTACAGTAAAAATAAGGTATTATAATCTTACAGGAGTACTGCCATATATATACAGTTCATTGTTGATCAGAGTATATGACTGTATATACAGTTTACCCTAGATGCATTTCAGTGAGAATCTCAAAACGTATGCTCAATCCCTGGCAATGCATTGCCTTTATTTTATGTATATCAATCATGATACTTGTGTTCCTGCTTGAAATTCAAACTGAGGGTGAAGTTTGGGTCTAGCCTTTCTGTTAAGGAGTCTTGCCTGTATCTTCATTAACTTGATTTGTGAAATGTCTGTGGTTCTGATTTTCTTGAAAGAAAATCTTCTAGGGACATCTGTGAGAGGGCAAGTGCTACTTCTCTCTAGGGAATGTCATGGTAGCCTGTCACAGTTGCCAGAGGTCTCTAGAACTGGATCATAAAAATGCCCAGTCACAACAGAAGGTACAAGTCCGACCCTGTCTCTATCAAAAGAGTCAGTATGGTATATTCACTCAGTTCAAATTCATCAAGGCCTTGTTAATTTTTTGTGGTTGTTTAATCTGCAGCTTCATTAAAACTTTCCTATGTCTGATTTTTCTGGTGTAGTTCAAGAATGCTAATGCAGTCATGGAATATGAGAAAATAGCAGAAACAGATTTTGAGAAGCGAGATTTTCGGAAGGTACAGTACAACCATGAGATAATCTCATCTGCCCTTTGTCACAAAATTCCCATTTGTGTGTTTGTGTGATAATTAAGAGGAGTAGTATGGCACAAAAGATCTAGAATAGTAAATTATCACTTAGGCTTCTGACTTTTCCTCTTTAAAATGTATTTTGCTGGCCAGGCACAGTGGCTCATGTCTGTAATCCCAGCATTTTGGGAGGCCAAGGCAGATGGATCATGAGGTCAGGAAATCGAGACCATCCTGGCCAACGTGGTGAAACCTCATCTCTACTAAAAATACAAAAATTATCTGGACGTGGTGGCACATGCCTGTAATCCCAGCTACTTGGGAGGCTAAGGCAGGAGAATTGCTTGAACCCAGGAGGCAGAGGTTACAGTGAGCTGAGATTGCACCACTGCACTTCAGCCTGGCGACAGAGCGAGACTCCGTCTCAAAAAATAAATAAAGAAAAGTTTTAAAAAGTTTTTTGCCCTCACGCCTGTAATCCCAGCACTTTGGGAGGCCGAGGCAGGCAGATCACGAGGTCAGAATATCGAGACCATCCTGGCCAACATGGTGAAACCCCATTTAAAAAAAAAAAATAATAATATATATATATATATGTATATATATATGTATATATATATAATATTATTTTTTTTTTTGCTAAAATACTTTCTTATGTTTGGCCCTAAGATAAAAAGTCAAATGAGTGTGTCACTTGAGTTTGTTTCTGTTGTTGAAGTAAAGCAATGGCCTAATAGTGTACTGCTTAATAAAGGAAAAGCCACCTGGAATTAAATATTAGGTGTAGATAATCTTTTTTTTTTGAGGCCTAGTCTTGCTCTGTGGCCCAGGCTGGAGCACGGTGCCTAACTGCAATTTCCACCTCCCAGGTTCAAGCGATTTCTCCTACCTCAGCCACCCTGGGATTACGGATGCATGCCATGACGCCCAGCTAATTTTTGTGATTTTGTTTTTTTGTTTGTTTTTTAGTGGAGATGGGGTTTTACTGTGTTGGCCAGGTTGGTCTCAAACTCCTGACCTCAAGTGATCTGCTGGCCTCGGCCTCCCAAAGTGCTGGGATTACAGGTGTGAGCCACTGTGCCTGGCCCTTAATAATCCATTTTTATTTGAATAATGGGAGCTGGACAGTGCCATGCCTGTAGCCCAGCTACTTGGGAGGCTGAGGCAATAGGATTGCTTGAGTCCAGGAGTTGTGAGCTGTAGTGCACTATGCTGATTGGGTATCCACACTAAGTTTGGCATAAATATGGTGACCTACTGGGAGTAGGGAACCACCAGATTGCTTAAAGAGGGGTAAGCTACCCCAGATCAGAAGCAAAGCAAGTCAGAACCCCCATACTGATCAGTAGCAGGATTGCACCTGTGAAAAGCCTCTGCATTCCTGCCTGCGAAACATAATGAATCCCGGTCTCTTAAAAAAACAAAAATGAGAAAGGCTCCTTTTACATTTTTGAAGAGTGCGCTTAAACTGTCATCACCTCCTTTGCAGCATTAGACTGTTCTAAGATGTTAGACTGTGTGGTAGTTCTTGAAAATTTACATGTCAAAGGGGTTCACATCTGATATGTGGGAAAGGTATAAAAGTTCCAGATGTCTTTCTAGACTTCATGGTTGTTCTGCCTTATCTGTATAACTCGTTTCTTCTTTAGATGGCGCTTAGAAATACTTTCCACTCAAGTTTCAAAAGGGGAGATAGATAACCCCCAAAAGGTTAAAAACCTCTGATCAGGAGAGATCTTCTGGATCACTTCAGTTTGTGATCACTACCATCCAAGGAACAAAGTTGTCACTTCAGTTGTGGCAATTTGCTCAATGCCTGTAGCATGTGCTCAGTGAATATTTGATAAGGGGGTACATTAAGAATCATTCTTAACTCTCACACTGATGGTCTTTGATTTGGTAATGTATATATCTGATCAGCTTATGCAGAGTCCCCACAGTAACTTATTAACATCCCTATTCTGTCCGTTGGTTTTAATAACCACAGTGTCTTTGTAGTGCAATTCATAAGTTTGTTTTGTTTGGCCTGTGTGTGTTTGGAAAGCAATTCTGCCTACTGTCACGTTTTCTGAGGTTTACATAGGCAAAAGCTTTGTCTTGAGAGGCAGTCTTTTGGGTTTCTTTTCTCTCTTGCCTACTCTGGAGCCAGATCCTGAGTTTGTGACAGAATCCTCTGTTTGTGACATCCCAGCCCCCCCACTGTAGCTCATGGTGATGTCACAAATGAAGAATTATGATCCTGGCAGGGGAAACAGATGAACTTGGAAGAAACAAAAGATCTTCTTTGCCTGCAGCTGTCCCTAGTCATGGGGAGGTGGGGGGTGGGAAGTGAAGCGCTGATGATCCCCACGATTAGCAGAACCAGCTCTGCACAAAACAGGGTCCTTGTGAAGGCAACAGGGTGTGGCTACTGACATTTTGACCGACTTCTTCCTGCCCCCCTCATTACTTTTCCATCCGAGGAGGGCAGGACAGTTAGCACACAATTATACCTACATAATGCTTAAGTTTACAAATTGTCCTTAGAACTTTCAGGACATGCCGGGTGCGGGCCCGTGATTCCAACTCTTTGGGAGGCCAAGGTGGGAGGATCACCTGAGGTTAGGAGTTTGAGCCCAGTCTGACCAACATGGAGAAACCCCGCCTCTACTAAAAATGCAAAAAATTAGCCGGGCATGGTGGCACGTGCCTGTAATCCTAGCTACTCGGGAGGTGGAGGCAGGAGAATCGCTTGAACCCGGGAGGCGGAAGTTTTGGTGAGCTGAGATCACACCATTGCACTCTAGCCTGGGCAACAAGAGTGAAACTCCATTGAAAAACAAAAGAGGCCAGGTGCAGTGGCTCATGCCTGTAATCCTAGCACTTTATGAAGCCAAGGTGGGCAGATCACCTGAGGTTGGGAGTTTCAAGACCAGCCCGACCAACATGGAGAAACCCTGTCTCTACTAGAAATACAAAGTTAGCTGGGTGTGGTGGCGAATGCCTGTAATCCCAGCTACTTGGAAGGCTGAGGCAGGTGAATTGCTTTAGGTGCTATTCATGGTTCAAAAACTAGAAAGTATGGCCAGGTTCGGTGGCTCATGCTTATAATCCCAGCACTTTGGGAGACCAAGGCAGGAGGATTGCTTGAGGCCAGGAGTTCAAGACCAGCCTGGGCAACATAGCGAGACCCTGTCTCTACAGATAATTTTAAAAGTTAGCTGAGTATGGTGACGTGTGCCTGCAGGCCCAACTACCCGTGAGTCTGAGGCAGGAGAATCACTGGAGCCTGGGAAGTCAAGGCTGCAGTGAGCCATGATTGGGCCACTGTACTCCAGCCTGGGCAGCAGAGCAAGACCTCATCTCAAAAACAAAAACAAGCAAAAGCTAGAAAGTATGAAAAATACTCAGTGATGAGTATGCCCTCAAACTTGTCCTCTCTCTGCTCAGTTCTCACCCCCCTAAGCTAACCACTGTTCTTATGTCTTATATTTTCTTCTTTAGTTTTGTTGTACATATATAAAATGAAGATCCTTGATTTTCTTCATTTACCATGAAAAGTAGTATGCTTTATGCAGTTCTGCACCTTTTAAAAAAAATAACTGAATAGGCCAGGCACAGTGGCTTATGCCTGTAATCCCAGCACTTTGGGAGGCCAAGGCAGGCGGATCACGAGGTCAAGAGATTGAGACCCTCCTGGCCAACATCGTGAAACCCCGTCTCTACTGAAAATACAAAAATTAGCTGGGTGTGGTGGTGTGCACCTGTAGTCCCAGCTACTGAGGAGGCTGAGGCAGGAGAATCGCTCGAACCTGGGAGGTGCAGGTTGCAGTGAACCAAGATCGCACGACTGTACTCCAGGCTGGCAACAGAGCGAAACTCCACCTAAAAAAATAACTGAGTAGATCTTGGATGTCTTTCCATATTAGTACATGAAGAGCTTCTTCATTTTATTTTGGAATTACATAGTATTCCATTATGTGGATGTCTACATTATCTAACCAGTCTCCTGTTGATGGAATTTGAATTTTTCTACTTGTAAGTGTTCAGACTTTATCTCTTCCTGATCCCCATGGCCAGATTCCTAGAGGGAATGGGTGTCCCGTAACTCCAGATTTCTCCTTTTGTTCATTTATTCTTGGACTGAATGTGATTCAGCAAGACTCTCCCAGGAATAAACAGTAGCTAAACCAAAAATGAAAGCTCAGAGGACAAACTAGTAAAAAGAGAAAAACAGAATATATGGAGATGCTTTATGAGGCTGAAAGAACAGATTAATCCCCACCTGGTTGTGTGTGTGAGAGTGCCTTGGCTTATGGTTTGTATAGTGGTATGATGGGAATAGTAATCTGATGTAGCTTATTTAAAGCCATTTAAAATGAAATCTTTTATTGGTATATTTCTCTACTAAAAACAATAGGTGGAAGAGGGGCCACCACAGTATTCAGTGTGATGTGAGGCTTACATAGTGAGCAATGAATCTGCACGAGGTTATTTTTGCTATTTCTTGTCTTGCTTATTAACAGGCTAAGCGTGACGAATTGTGCAAAGTAGCAAATAACAAGTGTTCCTGAGAAGAATGTGAGTTTTGATGACAGTCACTATGGATATGATTCACTGTGGAGGCAGTTTAGCATGGTCATGAGGTTATAGGCTCTGGAATCTTAGTGCCTAAGATCATATCCTGTTTCTATCACTAGCTTTAACAACGTGGAACCTTAGTTCCTTAGTTTTCTCATCAGTAAAATAAAAGTGATAATATTGCCTGTTTCTTAAAATTTTTGTGAGGATTAAATGGGTTCATATATGAAAGTATTCAGTAAATGTTCACTGTCCTCATTATTGTCAGGAATCATTGCTCTCCTCATTTCAGTGCTTTTATCTCATGAATTGGTTATGTGTAGTACTTAACAGTAGACCCAGAGACTTCTTTGAGCTTTGAGTCTGTTACCTGTGACTAAACTAAAGTGAATATGTTTCTGGAGTCCAGGGTGAAGAGCTTTATTGTTTTCTTCTTCCCCACAGGTTGTTTTCTGCATGGACCGTGCCCTAGAATTTGCCCCTGCCTGCCATCGCTTCAAAATCCTCAAGGCAGAATGTTTAGCAATGCTGGGTCGTTATCCAGAAGCACAGTCTGTGGCTAGGTATGCAGTCAGGCCAGTTGGGCATTAAAAAGCCAGACACCGGCTGGGCGTGGTGGCTAACGCCTGTAATCCCAGCACTTTGGGAGGCCGAGGCAGGCGGATCACCTGAGGTCAGGAGTTTGAGACAAGCCTGACCAACATGAAGAAACCCTGTCTCTACTAAAAATACAAAATTAGCCAGGCACGGTGGTGCAGGCCTGTAATCCCAGCTACTCAGGAGGCTGAGGCAGGAGAATCACTGGAACGCGAGAGGCAGAAGTTGAGATGAACTGAGATCACGCCATTGCACTCCAGCCTGGACAACAAGAGCAAAACTTTGTCTCAAAAATAAATAAATAAATAAATGTCTACTTGAGAGGCTGAGGCAGGAGAATTGCTTGAACCCGGGAGGTGGAGGTTCCAGTGAGCCAAGGTCATCCCATTGCACTCCAGCCTGGGCAACAAGAGCTGTCTCAGGAAAAATAAATAAATAAAATGCCAGACACCTTTGAACTGATGCTGTCAGGCAGCTTCACCATAGGATATGGTCCCCAGAGTAGGCCAGCTAGGGCTAATCAGGCCTTGGGACTTAAAGTCAAATATTAGGCCAGCTTTGAAAACCCACAGAGTATATATACAGGAGTATAGTAGTATAACAGGTACTTGAGCTATATATGAAAGAACAGCTATATACGAAACTCACATAACAGATTGTGTTATGTGAGTTTTTTGTGGTTTTGTTTGTTTGTTTAAGGTGGTCCTTTTCCTTCTACGCCACTGGTTGGCAAACTTTCTGCAAAGGGCCAGATTTTAGCCTTTGCAGGATACAGGATCCCTTTTGCAACTAACTTAGCTCTACCATGGCCATGCAAAGGCTGCCTGCCCTAGATCATAGATGAACCAGTCAGTGTGGCTGTTTCAAAAGAGTTTTATTTACAAAAACCAGTGGCAGAAAGGGTTTGGCCCTGTGGGCTATAGTTTGCCAAACCCTGTCCAGTCTAAGAAGGATTGTAAGACACAGATGTGTATTAAAGATAATTATAGTTGTTTTGTTTTATTTGGGGAAGGTTTGGGAACAGTTCTTGGGAATCTGTCTACTTTTGGATACTTTGAACACTAGACACATGGTCAAGGGAAAAAAAAAACTGGCCACAGTAGATAGTAATGGTGGAGACATTCTAAAGCACAGCTCATTGTGCCCTTTTCTCACTATTGCAGTGACATTCTACGAATGGATTCCACCAATGCAGATGCTCTGTATGTACGAGGTCTTTGCCTTTATTACGAAGACTGTATTGAGAAGGCAGTTCAGTTTTTTGTACAGGCTCTCAGGATGGCCCCTGACCATGAGAAGGCCTGCATTGCCTGCAGAGTAAGTTCTAGTCACCAGACCTGACTGGGAAAGAAAGCTTCCCTTTGAGACCTTTAAGATGGTTACAGTGGAAGGTTTTAGAATCATAGGGAATGTGATAGCTTTTCCTCCTTCTTTGCAAGAATGCTTGGTCTTCATTAGAAATGGTTTCCAGACTGCTTTTACTTACCTAAAGGTAAATGTGATCATATAGGGTCGGATGTCTTTAATATCTGAGTTTGTTTTTGTTTTTGTTTTTGTTTTCCCCCTTTTTCCCCATCAGTGAAGATAGATAGTAATACTTGCCCTGGGAAGTAGAGGCAGACCCAGTAACATAGGTCTCACTGGTATTTTTTGTAACTCTTAGTTTCTCCTGTCCACTCTGTAGGAAGCACAAATGAGCAACAGATAGCCCAGGTTGGGGGTTGGCCGGGCCCTGTGATGCTAAACTACTGGAAGCAGCAAACTTTAAAATAGACTCTGGCCTCTCTGTGCAGTGGTCTGAGGCTTTGTGGATATGCACTGATCCTCCCCTTGCATTTTTCTGTAGAATGCCAAAGCACTTAAAGCAAAGAAAGAAGATGGAAATAAAGCATTTAAGGAAGGAAATTACAAACTAGCATATGAACTGTACACAGAAGCCCTGGGGATAGACCCCAACAATATAAAAACAAATGCTAAACTCTACTGTAATCGGGGTACGGTTAATTCCAAGGTAAGCACTTGATCTGGATCTTGGGGCCTATAAAGAGATATTTTTAAGGGACATCAAAGGGTCTTGGGAAATCTGCCCAATGAGGGTAAGCAAGATGAAAGAGGATAAGTTGTTATGGTTAATAGCTTGTTAGGAACTCCCTTCCAAGAGGCAAGCTTTTATCATCTCTGTGGAATTTGAGGGCAGTTGGACAATTTGCAAGGATATTCTCACCTGTTCTTTAAGGTCCCTTTCCTCCAGTAAGAGAATGGCTAAGGGCTGTAGGATAATTTTAAGCAGCCACTGTTGCTTTTGCTTTTTTTTTTTTTTTCCCCCTTACGCAAGTGATCATTTATTTTTTAGGAGTGATTTGGAGGAAGAGTAGAGGCAAGCTTGTTTTTCTCCAGTGTAACTGATGGTCATCATGCATGACTGACAATGGCCTGAGTGCTTTTGTGGACCCCTTTTTGTTGGGGTCCATAGTCCTAGTGACAAAGAACTAGAACTTAATATGACATTTGGGGGCCAGCATGACTGATCCTCTTAGAGTTTTGAAGCCATGCTCACAGCTTCTGGGCTCCCTCAGTCACCAAGAAGTGAAGTATGATTGCTCTCTCTCTCCTGAAGCTTAGGAAACTAGATGATGCAATAGAAGACTGCACAAATGCAGTGAAGCTTGATGACACTTACATAAAAGCCTACTTGAGAAGAGCTCAGTGGTAAGTGTCTCTGGTGGGTGGGGGGAAGAGGGAGTTGCCGCTGACCTCAGGGGAATTGCCTTGTGGATGACAAAGCAGACCCAGAGATGTTGTGAGGTCATTTGGTCCTTCCCCCTACCTCTAGGTGGGATTGTTCCAGCCCTAGACTATCTTTATAGACCTCCAGCGGAGGAGATTGCACAAGCTCCCTCAGTCTCCCATGCCTGTGTCTAACGCCCCTCACGGTCAGTAAGTTTCCTCTGATGCCTGACCCAAATTCCTTTTGTTAAAGTTTAAATCCATTTCCTTTGGAGATTTTATTTTGTGTTGTACACTTATGCTCTAACTCGGCACAGTGCTTGACACATAGGTGCTCAAGGAATAAATGTTTTGTTGACTGCATGTATGGTGTTTGGAAGAGAAAATATCTCTTAGAGATGGTTGAGAGTTGTACTTCATCCTATTTCTTCTGGGTGAGGGAAGACAATCTTACAGTTGGAAGAGATGTAATCTGGCTCAGCTTCCCAGGGTAAAGGAACCTCCTTTGAAATACCCTGGATGACTACTGTCTGCTTGAGTGTTTTCAGTAGAGGGCACTCTCTATGTCTGACGAGATGAGCCAGGATGTGCCTGCTTCTCATGCTCAGATTTGCCCCAGAGTCAGAGTGTTCCCCGGCATAGTTGCTCCTCCTACTCTTAGACCCGACATGTGATTTTCTCCAGAAAGGAACAGAGCTAGGAGAAACCTCTCTCGGAAATCCATCTCTTCTGATTTCAGATTATTCTGTAGGCAGAGAAGAACTTTCCATCTTTAAAGTTCTTAAAGAAGATGTATTTGTTGTATACGAATCCTCCAGTACCTGCTCCACTCCTTATTATCAAATGTCATATCCAAAGAACAGGTGCTGTCGCTGATGCCTGATGAGCCAGTATTTTAAGCTTCCTTGTCTCATCAGTGGTACAGAATATCTCATGGACTACCTCCCGCTTAGTTTTCTCAAAATTATCTAATTTAAAACAGGAAAACTGCTGCTGTGTGTGATGCTTTTTTTAAAAGTGAATTTCTAAGTTGATGACTGAGTCTGTCCAACAGAAACATACATAGAATTTTATTATAGCTTCTGCGAGACCAACTGTCAGTCCACGCCCAGCCTGTCAGTCATTCAGTCTTTGCAAGCCACTGTCACACAGAAGCAGAAGCCTTGGAATACAAAAGACCACCCTGTGACTCAGCCAAAGACTGACTTTAACAGACGCAAAATGCTATATACATGAAGATGTTTGCTGCAATTTTATCTGTAACAGCAAAAAAAAAAAACTGGAGGGCGGAGAATCACCTACATGTCCAGTGGGAAGGGAATGGCTAGACACTTGATACTGTATCAGTTTAATGGAATACTCTATATATGGAATGCCAGGGGATGGGAAGAGAACAGAAAAATAGTTTTGTTTTTTGGGATTGAGTCTTGCAATGTTGCCCAGGCTGGAGTGCAGTGGTGCCATCTTGGCTGACTGCAACCTCCACCTCTTGGGTTCAAGCGATTTTCCTGCTTCAGCTTCCCAAGTAGCTGGGATTACAGGCACGTGCCACCACACCCAACTAATTTTTGTATTTTTAGTGGAGACGGGGTTTCATCTTGTTGGCCAGGCTGGTCTCAAACTCCTGACTGCAAGTGCTCGGCCTGTCTTGGCCTCTCAAAGCGCTGGCATTACAGGCAGGCATGAGCCACCACACCAGGCTTTTTTTTTTTTTTTTTTTTTTTTTTTTTTNTTTAAAGCAACCTCCAGCTAACATCATAGAAAATTCTTGATTTGCTCGGAGGCTAATTGGATGGAGGATTATTTTCTTCTTCGTTTATGTACAAGAAACAAAAATAAGGAATTGCTTTGATCAGACAACTTATCTTTGTGGTAGAAAGAAACAGAACTGCCCTTCTTGGAGTGGCTCTGCCTCTGAGATCACTACAGGGGAGACAGCATGCCTTGTTCAGCTGGCTGAGTATTTGGCAGCAATCTCCTGAAGCAGCTGGAATTGACAAGAAGTACTGAAGATTAGCTCAGGCCAAACCCTTACCAGAGGCCTGACCACTGCTGCAGTCTGCCTCAGTGTACCCCTAAAGTTGGGGAGATGCCACTTCCCCCCCAGCATCTTTGCTACACATGCCATCATGAGCTAGAGTTCACCCTTTCTCCCTAAAGCCTTATTTACTTTCCTACTTCAGCTTTAAAATGAAATTAAAATATGAGGATATCCCTGAATTATAAAAAATGCAGATTAGTATAGCTTGTTTAATACATTACATATGGACCTGAAGAAAGTTCATCAGGGTTAATCACTTGTCACATCATTTTACACCCAGAGCTATCAGCTATCAATTTTCCTTTTTTCTTTTTTTTAATTCAGGATTCAGCTCTATCACTCAGGCTAGGGTGCAGTATGAAAGTATCAATTTTCTCCTCAAATTATATTACATTTTGTTCTGTGATTGATTCTGAACTCCTATAACTTTTATGTCCTGTGCTCGCAGAGCATTGGTTTTTTTTTTTTTTAAAGTCGTAAATCATCATGTTGCCAGAAAATCACAGATGCCAAAGATGTTGGGCTTCTCTTCTGCCAGCCATATTTTTTGTGCGTTTGATGTTTGTGATTTCACAAACATCACAGATGCCCACCAGCTTGGAGGCCAGGGCAGGAGAGTGGTACCACAGCACTCTCCTGCCCTGGCCTCTGTTTTCATCTTATTTTGTGAAAATGGGCTTGTGGCGTAGCAGTGTGAGAAACTGAATCTCTGTTGTGCAGCACTTCCCATTCCGCAGCTGACAGTGGCTATCTCTGGAACTCCCATCACGGTCTTTAATTGGTAGGCCAGCCTTCCTGCCACTTGCTTCTGTGGAAGAGACACTTAAAAGATCTGGCAATCAGCCTGTCAAGCTCGATTCCTCCCATCTTGGGCCAGGGGCCCCTCCTTTCCTTTGTGCTACCAACATAGAAAACCTGTGTTTAGAGTTTCCTTTTCTGTCTCATTTACCTGCATCTCTCATTGATTGGTCTTAGTGGCAGGATTTGCCAGCAGCCGCCACATTGAACTTGATCCTTTTAGTGGCTCACTAATCCCACTTCTACTCTGGATTGTAGCTAGCCCTGCATGTTTATGGCACTGTAGGTTTCAAAGCTCTTTCATATCCATTTATTCACCTGATAATTTTTCTCTTGTGTGTTTCACCCCCAAGTAACCAAGTAGGTCCCTTCACATTGCCCATTTTTTTTTTTTTAGACGGAGATTTTGCTCTTGTTGCCCCAGCTGGAGTGCAGTGGTACAATCTTGGCTTACCACAACTTCCACCTCCTGGGTTCAAGCGATTCTCCTGGCTTAGGCTCCTGAGTAGCTGGGATTACAGGCATGTGCCGCCACACCTGGCTAATTTTGTATTTTTAGTAGAGATGGGGTTTCTCCATGTTGGTGAGGCTGGTCTTAAACTCCTGAGCCTAGGTGATCCATCCACTTCAGCCTCCCAAAGTCCTGGAATTACAGGGGTGAGCCACTGCGCCCAGTCCACATTGCCTTTTCTAAGGCAGTCCAGTACCTCTTAGGTGGCTCTGTATCAGAAGGAACTTTTTTTTTCTTGATTACTTTCCGTTCAGAGCTGAACATCACTTTACTGTTTGGGTGCAAGTGCCATGCGGCCTCTTTTTACTTCATTGAGGAATTGATAGCTAATTTTCTCTCACTGCTAGATTAAGGGCTCCTGTTTCAGAAGCATCTTACCAAAAGGGTGTGTCTCTTGCTTGAGCCATGCCTCTTGCCCTAGAGTGATACTGAGAACCATTGCTATTCATGTCTGAGTGCTGTATTGCCTTATATTTCCTTCTCAGTTACATGGACACAGAACAGTATGAAGAAGCAGTACGAGACTATGAAAAAGTGTATCAGACGGAGAAAACAAAAGGTAAGTTTGAAAGCATTTGCTTTTCAGGGAGTGGTGTGGACTTTCTTTGTACAGAAAGTCCTAAATCTGTACACAAGGTAGTTTGATTCAGGGATCAGGGATGTACCTAGAACGTATTTGATCACCAGCCAGAAAGACGTGAACAAAGGCCGGGCATGGTTAACAAGGCTTCTAACTCACAGCTAGCTGGGCTGAGACCTGGTAAGGAGAAAACCAGAGTCGGATTTGTCCACTGATGCCAGATGTCTTCCTCTAGAACATAAACAGCTCCTAAAAAATGCACAGCTGGAACTGAAGAAGAGTAAGAGGAAAGATTACTACAAGATTCTGGGAGTGGACAAGAATGCCTCTGAGGACGAGATCAAGAAAGCTTATCGGAAACGGGCCTTGATGCACCATCCAGGTAGAGTAGGTGGGAGGAGGGGCTCAGTGGGAAGAACCCGCAGGGCAGGCCAACTGCCAGACTCAGTCCAGAGGGGATGCCTTGGAGAGCTTTTTTTTT